TTCCTGCTGCTTGTGATTCCTAAAGAAATCCACTTCCAAGGCATCCTGTAGAATATTCCATTTCATTGCTACAAAGGAATATTATTACACTTTGTAGTAATGTGTACATTACAGCTTTTCCTTAATTACAGCTTATATATATTTGCTTGTGTGTAAGCAAATTGCATGAGCGGATAGGTTGCTGGTTTTGCTATGGCGGTGACTGAGATGTGCTACCATCTTCAGGATCCAGGCAGTGCAGGTTTTATTCCCTTCTGCAATGGCTATTACACCATGCCCATGCCTGTGATATCTAAGGCACTTTTTCAAAATCTGGGTTTGCAGCCCTTTCCCATGTTTTGCTTTTTTGATATGAGAATTTAAACAAGCTCAGATGGAGCCTCAGTTGAGTCCTTGCATACTTGGCATTGTTTTGTATACTTTCTCATCACTTCTTATATTGGACTCTTATGCTACTGAGCAGGTTATAGAACCACTTAAGTAGAAATGATAACATGGGCCAACCTTCCTAAGCCTGGAGAAAGTCCACATTTTGTAACAAAACCTGCAACCAAGTGAACTTCCCTGTTTGGGGATTTCATTTGGGAAGATCCATATAGGATTACTAGCCATTTGGCACTTAAAAAAGTCACTCTCCCCTGAAATGCTGCTGAACAGGAAGACAATAAAGAGCAGGTTGGAGTTCTGGTGGTGAATCCTGCTTTCAATACATTTTAGCAAGCCCTGTCATGTTTGTGAAGAGTCTGAGAAATTCCTAAGGCCCTAGTCTGGTATTATCTGGATCTATGCATATAGAGCCTATATTGATATCAAAAGGTTTGGGTGAGGTATGGGAGTCTGACCTCGCAGCTGCAGCTTCTGGATCAAGGTCTAAATTAAGCTATCAGAAGGGGAATGATTTGTATCTGAAAGTTTTGTTTTGCCCATCATATATCAGTAGCATTTATTAGTACTCTAAATGTTTCAATTAAATGGTTTGAACATCTTTGAACAAAACATTTAATCCCTCCTATTTTCCTGGATACTTTTTCTTGGTGAGGAAGTCCCTCAAATCATCTGCTTGCTTCCAAACTGGATTTAACCATTTGTGACCAAGTAAGTTAGCCATGAAAAGTATCAGACAACTTTATCTATAGGGCTTGTTACCAGCTTGGATGATTTCCTCCCAGGGAATTCAGTGTATACCGCAAAGCTGATAGAGAAATTGTTCTGGTCCATAAATGGGACTCCTGTGTACTACTACAGTACAAATGGTACCTGCTATAGTGACTAGGGAGAGGGGATAGAGTAACTCATCTGCATTTACTGAATCCATCTATTTGCATTGGCTGAGGTCAGGATGACTGTCAGTGTATACCTTATGCCTGGTTAAAAGAGCTATAATATATTTAGTAAATGAATGTTTAATTAATGTCCAACCTATTTCCTCCACAGTGTTAATTTGCTGGTCCCCAGTGGCTCTTTGATTGCTGTTGTTGGCCACGTTGGCTGTGGGAAGTCATCTCTTATATCTGCTGTCCTTGGTGAAATGGAAAAGCTAGAAGGGGAAGTGGCAGTCAAGGTTGGTGCTGCTTAGACCTCCTGTCCCCACTCATACACCTAGTATATTAGATATCTGTTCATAATGCATTCATTCAAATTAGCTTAGAGCAGGGTTGCTGAGGAATTTATGCTTAGACCGTCCTCTCTGTGTGTTTGGGTTTTGCCCATACCTGTTTAATCAAGTTCAGTTTTCTACTGAGATTTCTACTGTCCATTAGCAATTGAATGCATGTTCAAGTACAATGCAGCATTGGAGTTAGAGCTATAATCATTAACCCTAAATTGCTTAGTAAAGTTAAATCTGTTTAGCAGTGAATAAAAATTAGAGGCGTGATTTTTTTTTCCCTTCCTTTTTAGGGCTCTGTTGCTTATGTGCCACAGCAAGCCTGGATCCAGAATGCAACCCTGAAGGACAATATTTTGTTTGGCCAGCCTTCTAATGAACACAAGTACCAAAATGTTCTAGAGGCCTGTGCTTTAAAAACTGACCTTCAAGTGCTTCCAGGAGGTGATCAAACTGAGATAGGAGAAAAGGTAGGACCCTTAACAGCAAACATGCATGATGGCTGCTGCTTTTTGCGGCTAAAACGAGATTGTTTTATAGATATTTGGGACTCATTCCAACAATATTTTTAATCATATTCTTAGCTTTCAGTTCTCATTTAAGTGCATCCTGTTCAGCAAAGCACAGAAGGAAGTGTTTTCTGTTCAACTGTAGTCATTTGGACTTAAACATGTCCTTAACTTTAACTGTGTGTGCTGAAGTGTTTTACTGACTTGCGGTCCAAAATCTGATCTTTTTCTTGCTGAGCATCTTCAGTTCCCGGTAAAATTCTGAATGGGCAAGGCAGTCTGTTCCAGGTGATTGCACACTCCACCTTCTTCCACAAGTGTAAGGTCACTCATGCCGAGTTCAGGAACATAATGCATTTTGGAAACCCTTTTAAAGAATTGATTTTGTTTGAGGGTTCCTAATGGACATTACATACAATTCTCCACCTTTAAGCTGTGATCTGAATGGAAATAAGGTGTGACAGTTGTGTGAGGATTCCTTTCCCCCTCCAACTGTGTGCGCTATTCCTTTGAAGTTCCCACACGGTGCTCGGGCTTATACATGACATGTGAGTGCATCCGAGCCCTTTTAGTGTTTGGACTACTTATGTGATGTATTTTGTACTCTCCTTCTACCCCGCAGGGCATCAACCTCTCAGGGGGTCAGAGGCAGAGAGTTAGCCTTGCTCGTTCGGTGTTCAGCGATGCTGATGTCTACCTGTTAGACGATCCTCTCTCGGCTGTGGATTCCCATGTTGCAAAGCACATCTTTGATAAAGTTATCGGACCAGAAGGAGCACTTAAAGAAAAGGTAAGGCTGCATTTGGATTCTTTTTTCTACACAAGCCCAAACACCTGAGCCTTCAAGGGTTAACCAAGCTTTCCTATGGAAAATATCCGGGATGGCTATGTTGAAAATAGAAGTGTCTCGGGGGATTTACTGCACTCCCCTTCTTGGACTTTGTTTACAATCTTAAGGCTTTTGCTGGCAGACAGAAGCTGTCACAATGAAGCTGCTAGAGTTCACCCCACCTCCCCCAGCTCCTAACAGCTCTGCATGACTTATGGCAGCAATTCTGGCACCAGGCATGCAGGGCACTAGGTGTTACAGGGGTCACAGCTACTGCCACCCAGTACCCATGCGGGGCATGGGTGCTGGGTGGCAGCAGAAGTCTTCCATCATTCACAGAGCTGGTGGTGGTGTGCTGACAAAGAGGAGGTCTGCTGTCACAGAGGAGCTGTAAGTAGGACTTCCCCACAGTTTTGCTGGCAGAACTTCATGGGATAGACCAAGCCTCAGGGTTGTTCATTACTCCCACGATATCACACAGGGGACACTCATGAACAAGTCATTGCTTCCACCAAACTTTGTGGTATTCTTTAACCTTCTGACTCCTTGACGGTCTTTTCTCAGATACAGTATCAGGCTAGATCAGAACTTAAAAGGGAAACTGCAAGGAAAAGGATAGGCTGCACGAAGCATGATTCAGCAATATAGACTCTGCCCCCTGTGACTAAGCGTGTACACTGAGGGTGTGACTAGTTCAGGTGAACATATATAAGCTAGCCTTATACAAGCTAGCTCAAGTACTAACCGCAGCCAGTTGCAGCTGCATGCATTTCAGGTGCCAAGTTCGTGTTTGCTTGTGCAGTATGCGCTGAAGCCTGCCTTGCCACTGCTACACCACTGTTAGTACTTGACCTGATTAGATTAAAGCAACTGACTAATTCTGGATCATGGTTTAGTCGTACCCTACGTCAGTACTAGATTAGTTTCCCAGTTCTGCAGTAGTGGGGTGATACACTATTAAAAACACCGTCATTTCAAATGAGAGATAATGCCAAAACCCTGTCACTGTTGAACATTGCATGACTCTCCTCCGAACAGTCACGGTTCTTCTGCCTAGTCTCTTAGCTGAACTCCGAGTTAGTCAAGTATGGGGAGCAGAGCCGATCCTACTGGGTGCGGGACCCCAAGCAAATCAGCCTGTGCAGGGCTGCCTTAACACTGCGCGGGGCCACGGTACCCCTGCAAAGGGTGGGGGGTAGTCGCTGTGCTTCTTCTGCGGCATGGGTCACCCTGATTCACCATACCCTAGGGATGGCTCTGATGGGGAGTTATGTTATGCCTGTCTAAACTCTTCCCAGTAATGGAACATAGTAGGTGCAGAGGTGGCATTGTAATGCGGAGGTGTTTCTTCTTCCCATGCAGACCCGAATTTTGGTGACCCATGGCATTAGCTTTCTACCTCAGGTGGACCATATAGTCGTCATTGTAGATGGCAGGATCTCTGAAATGGGATCCTATCAAGAGCTTTTGAAGCAAAACGGAGCTTTTGCAGAATTCCTTCGAAATTATGCACCTGATGAAGACACAGAAGAGGATGAGCCAACAAGTACAGTGTTTCTCGTTCTTCTTAAGCTATAGCTTAAGTCAACCAGACCTGTATTTTTCTAGGCATAAATGTGATCAGGAAAGTGTAATAATCTGGCTTCCTTTATTTTTTCCAGCTGGCAAGGAAAATGTTAAGTATTGTCATTTTTTTAGGCTAACCAAGCCAGCTTGATAACCCTTCCAGTGTATAGGATGAATGTTGGGAGTACTAAAATTTGAGTAAGTAGCTGTCTTCCCAAATAAATTGTTTTCCTCCAGAAAAAAAAACTTTCCTTTGCCTCAGGCTATGTGCCTGTGGCAGGGCACTCTTAGTGCCTGCCACTTTAAGGACTCAGCCAAGCAGCCAGCAGGTGCTTGATTGCGTCGGCTATTTTAGATCCCTGGCTGCCTATATAAACAGGGCAGTTTGCAGCTGGCAGCCCAGGTAGTAACATTGCCGGGCTGCAAGGCTGCGTGGAACACCTGGAGGGAAGGGCAGGAGCTGTAAGGGATGGTTCGGAGGCTCCTGGGCATGACCTAAAACTGTGCTCTGCCAGGAGGGGGTGGCCTGGTGGGGCTCTCAGTGGTGCAGAAGCCCCCAGGAAATACCAGGCCAGTTACCACTCTGGTGAAAGGTGGGTCGGGGTGCCTTAATAACCCCAGCTCCCACAACCAGGTGGGTTACCCCCCAGTAGGGTCCAGGAGGTGGACCCAGGAGAGAGAATGTGGCTATAGACTCAGAAGCCTGACTTGAAATCCCCCAACTGGTCAATGCTGGGGCCAGGACTGGAAGGGTCAAAGGGCCAGGAGCCCACCGCGAGGGATGCCCAGAGCTGAGGGCCTGGGGTCCCGACTGGCCTGGAGGTGAGGCCAGGGCCAGTGTAGCCAAAGAGAACAGCTCAGAGAGCTAGGCAGCCCCGAATGAAGGCGGAGTAGGCCAAGTGGGGTCCGAACCAGAGGATTCTGGGGCCCAGAGTGGGGCCAGTGATGTTAACAACTAGTAGATGCCATCTGCAAGGCTTGGGCTGTGGTGTGTAGGGGAGGAATAGAGCTGCAGATAGCGCCCCCTGGCATGGGGGCAAGAAATAGGCAGCCTCCCGCCTATTTAACAACTTAATTAATTAACATCAAGGCATGGCAGAAGAGAAGGTAGGCAGTTGGCCCAGAAACAGGTGGGCAGGCCAAAAGCAAATTGGCCCAGAGGAGACCTCCCTGTTACAGTGCCTCTTCTCTACAGTAATGTGGGAAATTGGATTCTTTCAGTATTTCTAAATTATGAGAGAGAAAGACTTTAACAGTTAGCAAAGATTTCTTGGTGGGAAAATTCAGTGGCAGTCTAAGGACAGATTTGGACTTGACTGTCCCAAAGGAGTATCCAGAGTACAGTATTTCTGTTTTACAGCCTGATGCAAATGGCTTGCTAATCTGAGTTCTTTCTGGTTTTTATCTGTCTGAATTTATATGGTGGAAAATGAATGTGATTTGGTTAATGTATTCCTTGGATGTAGCAATAAGCGTCAGGAGTAAAAAGACAAATAGGAAGCAGAAGTTGTACGTAATCTCGCTGGCAACAAGAGAGAGCAGTTCCTCCTAGCTTCCCAGGCTGAAACACTGGAAGGGTGGGTTCTGTTCACAAATGTGGCTAGGAGTGATAATAATGCCACCCCTTAGCACTCAGAACGTCTTCCAAATACTTGACAAACATTAATAAATCATGCCAGCTGCCCTGTCAGGTACGATCACCATTATCTGCATAGAGAAACTGTTGCAATGAGCTTCAGGACTCAGGCTTCCAATTGCTATTTGTCCCTTGAGTTTCTGCTTTGTTCAGCATAAAGTTTAGATGCAATCTTCCATTTCAGTGCTAGAGGAAGAAGAAGTCTTGCTTGCTGAAGATACACTCAGCAACCACACCGATCTCACAGATAATGAGCCAGTGACAAATGAAGTCCGCAAGCAGTTCCTAAGGTAAACATTAAGGATTTTTGTGAACCCACTGCTTAGCTGAGCTTGAAGCATGTTTTAAGGAAACGGTCTTTAACATTAGCAGGTAAGGTAGCTGCTAGCATAACATAGCTAAGCTACCAGACTCTGCATCTTTCATTGTAGACTTCAGTTTCTTCTGTGTTAAAGCCTCCTGTGGCCATTTAAAAAAATAATGGATGATAATATCATGTAAAACATCTATTCCTGTGACACTGTTTTTAATCAAAAGTGAATTAATTCCAAGTGACTGTGCAGTTCTCGGATGGTGCTACAGTAAATATTTATACACACAGTGCTGGGCTGCTGCCAATTAGATTAATAATAGGCCTTTGCTTCACACCTGTCCTCTGAGTGTCTTGGAAGTCTTGGGGGTTTTTGAGTAGCTCATTCAAAGATGTAGTCTACTTCCATGGCAAAGTGTCCTTGCTGGATAAAGGCAGGGGTTAGGTTGGTGTTGTGAGTGCCACAGCTACTCGGAGCAGATGTGGTTGTACCTGAGGACCAGGATATAGATGACAGTTTTCTCAGTATGTTTGGAATGATTACTGGTTTTGTGGATTTAAGTGTAGTGATCTCTACTTTTTTTAGTATCATGGTTTGTAGGGTGCCATCCTGGATGTGCGGATTATGGTATGAAGAAAGTTGATGTTTGTATAAGATAATGCGAGAGAGAATGTGAGAGATGGGTAGTAGTTGTTGAAGTTATGGTAGACTTCAACGAGTGAGTCCAGATGTTCGGTCCAGACAATGAAAATATCATGTATGTATCACAAGTACACAGGTTCAATGGCACAGTTTTCCGAAAACTTCTCTTCAAGGTGGCTGATGAAGTGGCTGGCATATTGGAGAGGGGAGCATTTTGGTGCACACAGATGTGCTCACGATTTGGAGGATGTGTTGGTTGTTGAAAGTAAAGTTGCTGTAGGTGAGGATGAAACGGATGATTTGTGCCATGCATTGTGGTGGTAAATCTGTGTGTAGTGCCATGTTCTTACAGGTATTTTTGGCAGTGTTGTCTTAATTTTGTGAGATATTAATGTAAAGGCTAGTGATATTCATGGTCTGTCTTCACACAGAGGTGGTTAATGTTTTGGATCTTGTTGAGGAAGTCTGTTATGCCTTGACAGAAACTTGACCCTTTGAGTGTCAAGTGGTTTGAGGATGATTCTGTGAACCTTGATGGTTCTCCAGTGAGGGTATTGGCTTGATGTGATGCCAAAGTTACCTTATTATATTTAGCTGCTCTCTCTGCTACCTTCCCTGTGCTCCCCAGGCAATAATGACCTTTTTCTCTTTTGAATGGTCTTATTCTTTTCAATAACTAGGTTATCTATTTCAACTGCCCCTTACTGGTTTTGCAGCTACTTCTGATATCTTCTCTTTGCTCCACAATCTGCCCTGTTTTCCCTTCTCTACATAACCATATCCATGAAGCTAAAGAGCCCGTTTGATCTTATATTTAGGTTTAGGCTGCATCCGCTTCTTTCCCAGATCTGGTGAAGGGTTTTGTGTGCCCAAAAGCTGGTCTCACATCCCTCCCAACTATACAGTGGGTCTGGTAAAAGATATTGCCAAATAAACCTTGCTTTTTTCATATTCCCTGGACCCTTCTGGCTACAACAGCACTCTGGCTTTAAAGTCAGGCTTGTAAATACAGGGCCTGCTTATTATACGTGCTGAGCCTCTGCAGCTTCCATAGAGCTCAGTAGGATTTTTTTTCTCATCACCTCTGACAGTTGGATCATGTATGTAGGTATTTAGCCTAACTGCCCATATCTGCAGTGGCGAGGTACGCGGACATCTCACAGGAGGCAAGCAGCAGAATTGGGAAGCGAGTGCCTGTCTCCTCAGCCTCAGGCCTGCATTTGAACTGCTATGATCTTCCTTCCCACTCCTAATAAACTCCTCATTTTAACAGGCAAATGAGTGTGATATCTTCAGAGGTGGGAGAACGTCCCAGTAAGATGTCAACGAGAAGAAGAGTATGTGAAAATAAGCCAGTAGAGGCTCTGTCAACAAGAAAAAAACCCTCAGACAAACTTATTCAGGCGGAAACTACTGAAACGGGAACCGTACGTGTTGATTTTTTTTTTCTCTTTTTATTTTCTTTTAATTATATTCAAGTTTATATATAAAGTTTTATTATACATAAAAATGTGTTCTGTTAAGCATGTTGCATTCCAAATGCAGGGAGACGGTAGCTTTACAAAAGCCATAAGGGGATTTAGGATTTGTTGTACTAGATCAGGTCCCTGGGACTTTACATCTGGGATAATATCAGCAGAGGCTTCTGTACCTGGACAACACTTTATACTGCTCCATGAAACGTGTCTGATCACACCAGTCTTCGCACTGCATAGCTCCAAATGTTATTTGTCCCAGAATGATCTAGACGCTTTTAAATGTAGCATTATTGTTTGCTCCTGACAGTCTACAGAAGTGAATTCCTCACGTTAGCTGTGTGCTGCACGAAGATAGTTTATTTTACTTAAAATTGTCCTTTCCGTTGTCTCTGGGGAGCATTTGTTACACCACATTGTAGAAACAAGAATGGGTTACAACCTGTATGCAATCCTGGGTTGGAGACCCTCTGGGGAGGACAGCTATGTTCTGCTGAAGGACAGCCTTCTAAATTGAGGAAGGGGTGGGAAATGACTGAGCACATAAAGGAAAAAAGGAAGACACAGTGAAAATACCCAGGAGGTTTGTGCCACCAGAAAGTTTCCCGGACTCTGTTTAAAAAAAGAGCAGCCTCCAGACTGCATTTTCTACACATTAAACATTGTAAACAGTCGGTGTCATGGCAATTGGAGGAGGTATTGGTTAAATCAGTGGTCTCAAACTTGTCAAGTCTCAAACTTTTTAGACTTGAGGTGCCTCCATAACTTTTGTGAATTGAGCAGAACTCCGTTTCAAAAACGAATGCATTTATTACAGTGCTTACCTGCTTGCAGAGAGGGGCCAGGCATTGGGGATAAGCCTGGCTCTGCATCTCCTAACACCTGCTGATCTCTTCACACCTCAAGGCACCCTTCACAAGATCTTGTAGCCCCCTGGTTGAGTGTCACTGGGTTAAGCATTATTAGTTGCTACCATATATCATGAACCTTTCCAAAGCAGCTCAGTCAATGGGACTCATGCTTCTAATTATGCCCTCCCCTTATTCTTTTAAAGATGCAGTTTTGCTGTGAGTCCCTCTCTAAGCAGGTCTACATGGGAAACCTACTCTGCTCAGCAATGGTGCCCTTAAACATGCTGCGTTGCTCCACCTTGGGCTGCTTCATAAGCTGGAAGCAGCACAGCTGTGTCCAGGTAGCAGTGCAGGTGGGCCAGTTAGTATGGGGGACAACTAATTAGCCCTTTCACTCAGCCCTGCTAATTAGCCCGCCTGAAGCACGGTGGTCTAAGAAAAATTATGCATGATCCCAAAAAAGAAAAGACCGATTGTTTCAGAGTAGTTGCCACTCACTGTCAAGAGATGAAGCTGTCTCTTTCAAAGAAGCAATCTCCTGACTTCGAGCTAAGCTAACTAAATTGTATTTCCTGCAATTTATTGGAGGTTTGGGCAATCTCAAGCTTAGTGGTCCCTCTACTGGACAGATCTGGAGAGGCTTCTTTTGCTTATTCTCTCTCTCTCTCGGCTCCAGACTAGAGTTGCATGTAGACATATAAATACACTGTGCTCTGCAAATTTTCAGGTCAAGTTGACAGTATTTTGGCAGTACATGAAGGCCATCAGTCCCATAGTATGTGTAATGATATGTTTCCTGTATTGCTGTCAAAATGCTGCTGCGATCGGGGCCAATGTATGGCTCAGCGACTGGACCAATGAACCTGTGATAAATGGAACTCAGCATAACACAAGCACGCGACTCGGTGTCTATGCTGCCCTGGGCCTCTTGCAAGGTAAAAATATTTCTCAGGTGAATATAGTTACGATTCATCCTCATGTAGCAAAGAAGAATGAACTGGGAATGTCATAGCAATAACTGCAAGGGGTCCTGCGCTCCAAAAAAGATGATTTGCGAGAAAAGGCAAAAAGTAACACGGAGCTGGTAAAACTTGATTGAATTGATGCTTCAGGAACTACTTGATTCCAAGGAAAGGAAGGACTAAGAAGCTTGGATAATGATGAAAGGCGCTGGGAGGGGCATAGAGATATTAAGTAGGAACTGTAGGATTAGGATGGCAGCGGTGAGGATGAGATGGAGACTGAGGGGCAGGGTGAGAGCTGCGTGGAGGGTGTACACAAGGATGACATAAGATGTACGTGTTGCACATGGGCTGCCTGGCTGGATTCTGCTAACTTTATTCACTTAAGTTGTTTCCCTGCAGTCAGCAGTGTGTAGCACAGGATTGGGCCTAGATATAGCAGATAAAGAAGAAAGTCTTCCGCCACAATGAAAACAGCTGATTCTATTCAAGTCAAACAGCTTCATGTTGTGCACACTGAGCATACAAACTTCTGCAACTTTCTTCCTTGTGTTAACAGGCGTCCTAGTGCTCATCTCTTCCTTCACCCTGGCAATGGGTGGCATCAATGCAGCCCGAAAGCTTCACACTGCACTGTTGGAGAACAAATTTCACACCCCCCAGTCTTTCTTTGATACCACGCCAACAGGTCGAATCATCAACCGCTTCTCTAAGGACATATATGTGATTGATGAAGTGTTACCACCTACCATCTTGATGTTCCTACAAACCTTTTTCACCTCTTTGCAAACCATGATTGTCATAGTAGCAAGCACTCCACTCTTTGCTGTGGTTATTATACCCCTAGCAATACTATACTTCTTTGTCCAGGTAATTTATTGTTTGTGGGGCTGTTGTCCTGACAATTATGGTACTGTTCTTATTGTTTTGTTCTTACTTTTACCACCCTGCAGAAACTTTGAAAATATTCTCTTTGCGCTGATCCTAAAAGGTAGTCCTAAATGGCCCTAAAAAGGCAATACGCTTTTTTTTTTTTTAACTTTCTTGTTTTTTAGCTTTTTGAAAAGCTCACAAGATGACTTTTTGAAACCATATAAAATATATTTATGGAAAGAAAATATGGATACTCTTGACCCGTTTAACTTCCAACCATTAGTTCTTGTTATACCTTCTTTGGCTAAGTTAAAGCCAGACAAAATCCAGCTTGGTCTGATAGATATTAGGAGCCTGAGTTTAGTAGTTTCAGTCAAGTTACCAAAAGAGGTGCCCACCTTGAAGATAATATCATATTAATGGGCAGTCTTGCTGGCACTCTTGACCGAGCTGTCTGATTTTGAATTGGGCTGTGCAGACTGAGTGTCGTCCTCCTTTAGATGTGGTGTTTCATGGGGCATGGGCAAACGAACAGATTATTGTGAGTTAATGTTGAGTGGAGACTTACGATGTTAGAAGGCAAAGTAGATATGTATCTTTGTAGACTAACTAAATAAGATATATAGAGAAGGCACAGGCTTTCATGAACCTGGGTTCACTTCATCAGCCACTGTGGAAGGACTTGCTGTGTCAGTTGTTCTGCAGTACCCGTCTGCACATCTGCTCTTCACAGGAACTGAAACATTACTTGGGGCAATGTAGCCTTCAACAGGGTCAAGCTGAGCGTAGTTTAGCTTTCACTTAGCACAGAGTAAGAATCTGCTCGCAAACTGTTACTGCAGAGCGGCAGACAAGTGATAAGTCCATGCCCAGCAGTAATCTCTGTTAACGTGTTGTTTGTCCGTATCTTAGATCATGCCAAAGCCAAGCAACTGGAAACTGGAAATAGGCTTATAACCTTTTCCTTTGTATATATATCTGCATCGCAGGGGGCTAAGACAACATTTTTCATAATCACCTGTCAGCGCATCTGTGAGCTGATCTAAAGCATACTGATCAGTGATGTCGATGGAAAACCTATAGTCATTTGGCTGTGGGCTTTTTCATTTCAGTGAAATGAATTTCATATCACTCTTTACTATTAGCATTGGAAATATTTAGGTTACTATTAGCATTAGCATTGGAAATATTTAGGGTTAGAATTGTATTATTGTACTGTGTTTTCATTGCTTATTTAAATTTTTAAGAATTATTTTGTGTGCTTTTTTACGTTTAACGTTGGCAGCGGTTCTATGTGGCCACCTCGCGTCAGCTAAAGCGCCTGGAGTCTGTCAGCAGATCCCCCATTTATTCCCATTTTTCGGAAACAGTCTCAGGGACCAGTGTCATCCGAGCCTATGGAAGAGAGAAATCCTTCATACACATCAGCGACATAAAAGTAGATGAAAATCAGAAAAGTTATTATCCCGGCATTGTATCGAACAGGTAAGGCCATACCCACCATTTAGGCAAGCTAATGTTTCCATGGCAGTTCAAGTGATTATTTACCTCTCTATATGTTTGCTTATTTAACAGGTGGCTGGGTATTCGAGTTGAATTTGTAGGAAGTTGTGTTGTCTTCTTTGCTGCTCTCTTTGCCGTATTGGGTAAAAACAGCCTGAATGCTGGCCTTGTAGGACTTTCGGTATCCTATGCATTACAGGTGTGTATTTCCTGTCTCAAATGAGTGTTCATGAACATTTTTTTTTTATCCATAGCATTGTCCTATTACCATCTTATTGAGAAGTACTCATAAAAATCCTTGTTAATGAATAACTTATCACCTAGTGTGATAGTAATAACAGTTTATACACACACACACACACACACACACACACTACTTCTAGAAGGCCTGAGTTCTTCACAAATGAAGAATTTATATGAATATTTCCAGTGATCACCTCTGAGATTGGGTCCCCTTTGTGCTACAAATAGTCACCACTTCAAAGAGCTTGCATTCAAAATAGATAAGACAGTATCCCTGCTTCTGTCCCTGCAAGAAGAAATGTTTAGGGTAACTTGTGATAAAAAGATCTTAATCTGACTAAAGTACAATTTGCACAAAAGAACAATGAGACAAGGATGATATGAGGGATGCAATTCTGGACCATGAGAAGAAGGAAAAGTTACTAGTAAAAGCAGAGATGATAATGTTAAAATGGATTCTTGGAGCTGGCTTGAAGGACAAGGTGAGAAAGATGGCATTAGGACAGCCTTGGGGGTACAAAAAGTCACTAAAAAAAAGTCAGAGAAGCTAGATTGTGATGGCTTAGCCATGTAATGAGGCAGGACCACTGACTACACAGATAATCTACAAGATGACTCTGACTGGCAAGAGGCTGAGATGATGACCAAAACACGTGAAAAACACCATTGGGACAGATAGGAGACACCCAAGCATCCAACCAGATGATGCAATGGATCACTACAAATGGAAAGTAATGTTCTGAGCAGCTGACCCTACCCTGAAGCCATATAAAGAAGATGATGACAATGACGGTGTCCCGTTTTAGGGATGGGAAAATGAGGGAGAGGGAAACTAGGGGTGCCTGTAGAGGATGCTCCGATGTGCTGTAATTACAGTGTGTCAGAGCAAACTCAATTAATCAAGTCCGCTGGAGCATGGTAATTACTGCGCTCCAGCAGCCTCCCATGTCTCGTGTATCAGCTCCAAAATGACGGCAGGGGTGTTTTGAACTAAAGCTCGTCAAATGAGCTTTAGTTCAAGTACCCCCATTGCCATTTTGAAGCGCAGAGAAATTGAGATATGTGACGCTGCAGTGCTTTAATTAGAGCAGCTCTAGTTAAAGCATCCCTGGAGCTTGTGTAAAAGTGCCCTAAGGGACTTGACCACTGTTACAAACCAGGTTTGTAGCAGATATGGGACCGCAGTCCAGGTCTCCTAAATTTCACAACCTGTCTGTAAACTTTGGTCCTGTTCCTGCACCAGATGATGCAGTGGATCACAACATCATCTGGTGCAGGCAACGTATTGCAACATAAATTGCAACATATTGTAGTTTAGGATATTGCTGTAAAAAAACCCTATAATGAGATTAATACTATAAACTATATGCTACACTTCTGTCCTTCTCTGGGGTAATGTGTTGGTTTTTTTTATTGTCCAGGTGACAGTGGCTCTGAATTGGATGGTACGGATGGCTTCTGACCTTGAAAGCAACATTGTAGCTGTCGAAAGAGTGAAAGAGTATTCAGAAACTGAGACCGAGGTCAGCTCCTGAAGCATTCACAAGCAAGCATGTTATGCTTAGAAACATGTAAATATGCATGGCACTTTGTTAGACACTTTAAAACCAGGAGGATTCTGCTCTCAGGACCTTCCTGCGTGACTTAGACAAGTATAATGCTCTAGACCAGCGGTTCTCAACCCTATTAGATTCAAGGCAACCTTCGGAAAATGCCAGCTCTTAATTTTCGCTCATTTTGACTGAAGAGAAAGAATTAGAGCAGTTCTTCTTTTGCAAAGAAGGCAGAAGGACCACAGCAGGTCTGAATGTTTTTAACACTATAGACTCCTATTTGAAATCTCTAGGTTTATCTTATGACTCTCATTTGCACACGTAACAGTGCTAACATTTCATGGCAGTACCTCTGAAAAGATCTCAAGACACCCCAGGGTGCTGTAGGCACCCAGCTTGAGAATCACTGCTCTAGAGGATAGTTTGGGCTCATCCATACTACAGAATTTTACTATTGCTGTTGATACAAAGCCAAATTTGCTACTGAGATGAACAGGCAAAATGCCACTGCAGTCAATGGAACTGCACAGAAATATATTTTCGCGCACAGAAATTTTGCCCTGTTGTCTACATGCAGTTCATTAAATTTTAAGGCCCTAATCGGGTGGATGGGAATGTGATCTATCCCTGCTGCCAAGCATGGCTGTAAAGCCATCAGCAGGCTGTCCGCAGGGTTTGACACGGTACCTCTCTTAATCAGTTTAGACAGTTTGTTGGTCTCCCATGATTTTCTTCCATAGGATCTCAAACCACAATGCACAGTGTTGTCAAAAGAGCCCACCTACAGTCCTTCCCATCTGGTACCAGAAGCAAAGGCAGTTTGGGATTGCTACCAGCGGCCCAAAATGCACCAGCACAAGCAAGTTATTCAGCTTGGCAGATAGATAGTTATGCCATGAAATCTACTTCTCTGCAGGATATTTTTAGTTACGGTGCACAGTAGAGGGAGGATTGTGGGAGGTAGGACGAGAGGACGGCTACTGTGTGCAGCCTTGAAGCTGAGGCAGTGTGTTGAGCCAGGAAGCCAGAGAAGATACAAAAATATATTGTGAGCCAGATCTTGAGCTGCTGTAAAACAACATATTGCTTCTGCGCTCCGCTTCGCTTGAAAAAGGATACAGTGCTATCCGAAAGCTTGCTAGAAACATCAGCCCCTCCAAGTTGGTCTAATCAAAGAGATCAACACGAACCAAAAGACTCGTCGATCATACTGCTATTGAAGGCAGTGGAACTGTGCCGCTTCGCACCATATTCGGTTTGGGCCCGAGAAGAACGGATTGAAATGAAGGGGTCAGTTTTTCTTGCTAATTGGTCCACCATATGCAGAAGAAAAGGATTTTTTTTTTTGACGGTGCTTTAGCGGCTCCCATCCCATAACTGAAGTATTTTAAATCAGTCTGTCCCTTTTAAAGCCTCCGGGAAGTATTGCTCACTGCCACTTTCTTTTAGGCTCCCTGGATAATTGAAGACAAGAGGCCACCAGAAGACTGGCCGGCCAAAGGGGAGGTAGAGTTTGTTAACTACTCAGTGAGGTACAGGAAAGGCCTAGATCTGGTACTGACGGACCTAAGCCTCAGGGTGAACGGTGGAGAAAAGGTATGATACTGCATGTTGTCTCTGGTGTTTCACATGGGATTTGCTGTAACAATAGTGGCTGTGACAGATCCTCAGCTAGTGTTAAAGGACATACATAACTCCATTTACAGCCGCAGCGAATCTGACATACTGCATTTAAAATGCTCATGTAGACTTCAAAGGAAGTGTCTAGCATCACTGTTTCTCCCAAAGGCCAGCACAGGGTTGCTGCGTTTCTGAGTCCAAGCAGTTCTTGTGTCTAACTTTGATCTGGGCAATTTGTGTGATGGAGGGAAGTGATCCAGTTGGAGAAAACTTCGATTCTCTGCATCAAAGGACCATCCAAAACCTTTCTCTTGTCAGCTTTGTTCCATCTCAACATGTTTGCAAATGCTAGTTTGCCTCGTGTCCCTGGGGAAAATCTGTTTTGCTGCTTATTCAGGGAGAGTCCTCCAGTTAAGAGGCTCTGGTTAAAGAGGAAGAATTGCCCGTGAGCTAAGTATTCATAATGGGAGCTGCATTTTAGAGGCAAGGTGTATTGCATTTAGCTTAATTAGATCTTCAGCAAATCCATACATTATATATACTTATTTATACTTGTTATTGCACAAACTCATGGAGTGATAACACCTGCTTAGCATAATACATGACAAGTGGAAATGAGGGCAATTAGGGAGGGAGAAATATTATTGTATGGTTGTATTTTCTCTTTTTAGCATCAGATCTTGTATTAAAATCTGTTTCTCCTTGAAAGGGGTTAATATCACGTTTCTAATTCTTAATAAGAATTATTAATTGTCCTGTTCTTAACTCTGCAATGCGTATTTTAGATAGGAATTGTTGGAAGAACGGGAGCTGGGAAGTCTTCCATGACCCTCTGTCTCTTCAGGATCCTGGAAGCTGCAAAGGGAGACATTAAAATAGATGGTGTGAGAATTTCAGAGATTGGTCTTCACGACCTACGATCCAAGCTCACAATTATTCCCCAGGTAAGCCAGTGCTTCTCTCATGGCAGTGTGGTGAAGGCATTGAACTTTAGTAGCTCAGCAAACAGCAAATTACAATGTAATGGCTCCTCGAAGAAAGGCATCATGCTCTGCCCACAAAAGCAATAATTGCTAGTTAGTCATGCATGTACATATCTGCAATAGAACCAAGTTCATTTTTACATGGCCTGGTTTTTTATACCTCACCAGCTGAAGTAAGACGTAAACTGAAAGCCAAGATAAAAGGATTTATCCAACTTCTGGAACAGGATAATAGCATAAATAGCTATTGAATGTGGTAAAGTTAAACGAGACATTTAGGTCTAACTTGGACATTTAGACCTTTGACTGAAGCTCATCAAGTTGGCCAAGGGTATAGAGGAAATGCAGGTTATTAGTAACCTCATCTGTCTCTCATTTGACATGTTTTAATGGTGAGGTTGTTTCAAAGCTTAGTCATTATACCTATACTACACACTTATCTAGCTAATTATGTACAAGTACTATAAAGGTTTTATTTGGAAAGCAGACTACAAATACAGAGGTAAAATGAAATGCTTGAAAATGCACACCTAACCCTTTTAATATATGGCCATAAATATACAATCTAAGGAGGCAAGAGAAATAAAAATTACAGTATGTGGGCTCCATGCTGCAAATAGTTTGACACACGCATAACCTGATTCACAAGAGAAATGCCATTGAATACTATGCATGGTGTAATTCCTATGAAGAAAATAATCCAGATGCTTGCAGAGAAGAGTATTGTGCCTTGTAGTTAATTATCGGTGCGAGTTCAAGGAATTGCAAACAAACCTATGAAACACCATGAATATGTTCGGTCCTAAGTGTAAATACCTTTGTAATGTGTTATTATCTACCACTTATATTGCAGTAGTGAAGGGCCACAGTCTGCATCAGGACCCCATTGTATAAGATGTTGTACAAACCCTTGTCTCTGCAACTGGAATCCATTGCTTCAGATTGGCATTTTGAATGGTGTCCTTTTATTTTTTTCTAATATGAACCATTTTGTACCTGCTGGACACGCTTTGAGGACACAAACAATAATGCTTTATTACAGGGGTGGCCAGTCTATGGCACAGGTATCACAAGTGGCATGGGCAGCCCCCGTGTGTGGCATGTGGCAGATCGGGGAGGGGACATATAGCACACTGGCAGATAGGACAGAGAGCAGAAAGCAGAGCATCAGATCAATCAGGGAGCACAGGGCAGAAAGCAGAGCAGCAGCTTGGCCAGGGAGCAGGAAGTTTAGCAGCAGATCAGGTCAGGGAAAGGGATTGGAGTGGCACTCAGGGGTGGTGCAGGGGCAATTTGTGGCACACCTGCCAAAAAGGATGGCCTCCACTGCTCTTTTGTATGAAAATCTGCTTAATACCTCGTTATAAACAATTAAACCCCTTGTCTAATCACTGGGTTATTTATTCAGGACCCAGTTCTTTTTTCTGGAACGCTGAGAATGAATCTGGATCCATTTAATAGTTACTCAGAGGAAGAAATATGGACAGCTCTTGAACTGTCGCACTTGAAGAGGTTTGTCAGCAGTCAGCCGGCCATGCTGGACTACGAATGCTCAGAAGGAGGAGAGAACCTTAGGTAATGAGGACTTTACGGTAGATACGTAATCATTGAGATTTTGGCATCCTGAGAATTATTTGTCCCGTATTTCAAATTCCATTTAGCCCAGTGTGGGATAGCGTTTGAGTAGCCCACTGAAGCCATCACCAGAATGAGTGAAGTATCCCTCGTGCTGCACTGAATAGGGCTCCTTTCCTGAATTTGGCCTCTACTCAGGGACATTTTTCTGGGTCCTTTGAAATGTCTGAGCTCAGTATTGAACGTCAGGGCCCTACGCTTTTGCAAATATGAACAATGATGATAAAATGTGTTGTAATATTGGCTTGCGGTGCAATACTGCATCAGTAAGAAGCCCCAACTCTTTTCTAACTCCAAAGGTGTCCTCTCCATGTCAAGGTTGAGGCTTGTCAGTGGGGGAAGCTTCTGTTCTCCAAACTGTGCCTGTTCCTTGAATGAAATAGGACTGTCAGCTTCAACCAAAGCAATTCCATAAGAACTGAGTTCCTTTACACACCTCACAACTTTCTTTTTTCTTCTCATTTGTCAGTTTGTCTTGTGGGCTGATTTTAATAGCGATGGGCTTGTTGAAAGCAGATCGGGGAATGCACATTATAATAGCAACCACAGCTGGAGGCATTTACAGTTTGCACAGAGACTGCCTATAATAAGCTTTACTGGCTGTAATCATTGAGCCATCAGGTTAATGATGCTTATTATTATAACCAGTATATTAATTGGAAAGTAAATATGTATTTTAGAGTAGCAGTTATCTTTTATAAGGTCAAAAGCCAGTAGAAGAATATTTGACAAATATGATTTGACTAATAGTTCTATCCCATGGAAAAAACAGGTCTAGTGTATTAAATTTCGAACAAAGAAAAGCAGGCAGCCCTAAGGAACCTGTTGCTGAACAACCTTGTCTTTGCTTTCAGTGTTGGTCAAAGACAGCTGGTCTGCTTGGCAAGAGCCCTCCTTCGCAAAACAAGAATCTTAGTTCTGGATGAAGCAACTGCAGCAATTGACCTTGAGACAGATGATTTAATTCAGATGACAATAAGAACTCAATTTGAAGATTGCACTGTATTAACAATAGCACACAGACTGAACACAATTATGGATTATACAAGGTAAACTTAAAGAACCAGAAACAGTAAATGTATTGAATGAGGTTAATATGACCAGAAATATGGGTTGGTTTGGGTTTTTTTTTACTTTTCTGATCATCCTGTAGGACTTTTAGCCTCTCCTACTGCCCTCATTAAAATCAGAAAGTGCAACTAACTAGTCTGAGACCTTTTAATCAATCTTCTATTGCAAGTCATGAGCACAATGATTTTCTTTTTTTTTTTGTTTTTAGAGAGAGAGAAAGAAAAAGCACCTTTTTGCCATGCCCTGACCATTTGCTTTTATAATCCATTTTTCTGAAGGAGTCTAGTACCTGCTTTCTCTGGTGATGCAGAAATTTGCAGATTTGAAGGCCTAGTCTGGCCTGTTGTATAACTGAATTAATACTTGCTTCAAGTCCAATAGCTGCAGGTGAACTAGAACATCTCTATTCAGAAAAATATCTTGACTTGGAAACTTCCAAGGATGGAAAATCTACCACGGTCCTTATTAAAATGCATCAATGGTTACTTTCCCTCAAGCTTAAAAATGTCAGTCTGTTTCTAATCTGAATTTGTTGAGTTTCAACTTTCCAGCCATCGTCCTTTGTTAAATTTTTGTCTTCCTGACAAAATTTCTGCTCCCCACGTAGAGACGCCCTCAACGTTCTTGTTAGGTTAGTGATGCTCGGTGCTACAAGTGACTTTTCAAAAATAGCACCATCTACAGCTCTTCTTCTGCATGCGTTAGATATACATCTTTCCTACAGTCATGGACAATGAAACACTTTCATCTGCATGCTATGGGTTTTTTATTTTTTTGAACTGGAGTGTGCCCATTCTAGTGCGTCTAGGGGTGATGTTATAGCTCTTCAGTTAACACTCATGAAACATCCATGTCAGTCAAGTTTCAGTGGCACTATCATTGTATCGTGTCATAGTATGTGAACATGATTTACACAATAAGCGGGGAAGGTTTGCAATATTTGCTTCCATTGCTGAGAAGGCATCAAGTTTCCTGAGAAAAGTGAGATTTTTCCGAAACATCAGCTTTTCTTTCTTTATTTGATACAGGGTCCTGGTTCTAGACAAAGGAACTATAGCTGAATTCGATACACCAACAAGACTTATAGCATCAAGAAATATTTTCTACAGTATGGCCAAAGATGCTGGACTGGCATAACAAAACTTTTTTATACCACTTAAAGCAACCCATGAGTTTACTGTATTTTACAGAATGGTCTTTGTAGCAGACTAAGCTTGTGATATAAAACTATGTATTTTATACCCACAGTGCCCAAACGTGAATTTTATATTTTTTAAACTATTTTCTATATATATATGTATATGAAGAATTTCATTAATGGCTTTTTTCCTCAAAGAATGCCAAGTATGCTGCCAGGAAAATGTATGTACAAGGTAACATGTACTGTATTCTGATTTATCATTAGAAATTAAAACTAATGATACAAAATACACCTTTTCCGTGCCTTTTGTATTGAAACTCACGAACCTTGCAATGGGACAGTTGACTTCATTGTTGGGGCTCAGTTAAAAGGAAATACTCCAAGAGTGATTCACCGGTATAACTTGTCCCAAACCATTCCTTATAAATAGTTAATGCTGACGGGACAAGATTGTTGGATACCAAAGTTTGTTTCAGAGCCACAGGCCATTGATATCATGGAGCTTCATTTCTACATGAGCCTGGAACGACCTGAAGAACTGGGGTTAATACATTTTTTTCTCATTCCTACCTATAATTGTAGATGTAGAAATACATCCACATATAAGGCCTAATGTAAAATCAAGTGCAATTAACACAGCAATTTCTATTAACTTCAGTGGGGTCTGAATAAATGCTTGTAAAGATATAATTGAAGAGATGTTACTTTATTTAATACTTCTGCTTTCTGTATAAAAGCAACATGGATAAGAAAAGTCATCTACAAGTTCAGCAACTGATTTTTTTTTATGGTATACCATTTATTTTTCTTACATCACTTACAGTTGTTTGTTTTATATGTTTATAATTTCCAAATAATATGTAGATAACATCTACTATAAGAGGAAATTTAGATTGTAAATGATGAAGGAAGAATTCTGTGCAGCAAATGATTGTCACTAAGATCTAAAGGCACGTCCATTTTTTTTTGGTTCCTTATCTCCCTTACCAGCAACAACGGAAGGGAGAAAACATTGCTCTTTCTTTCCTATGACTGAAAGAAAAAAAAATTCTGTAACCATGTGAGAAGACCAAAAATAATCATTTATTAATTATAAAAAGAATGCATCTTAAATAGAAACAAGAGTCTACAGCCAAGCAACTCATTTAATGTTAACATAGTTTTCACATAGTAATGCACAAAGTACATGAATCCTCGATCAGATACAATAGTGTGAATGTTATACAGTTACTTGATTAATTCAGCTAGCAAAGATGATATTGTCAGTTATAAATTCTATATGGTATAAAGTATAAAAATATTCCTCTGAATGCATAGATAGCTATTAGCAACTGTGCAACATCATCAATATACCAATGAAATCAGTCAATTAAATGGCTGATCATTTTACTAGTAAATCCTACCATGTTATACATAAGAGTATTGTGCCTTTATTCACGGACTGGCTAAGACCTAAGATAGGTCTAAGCCAGTGTAAATGCCACAGGTCGTTAATAGTGTAATGAGAAATTGTTCCAATATATATGCTTCCATTCTATAGTAGTTAATACAACACCAATAAATTAGTTTAAAAAATAGGATAGCCATTGGATCCTGCTGTAAAAAGAGACTATAACAATTTTACTGCCATTTTTCTTGTTAGAGACTCTCAGCTAAAGGAAAGAGTTTGAATTCAGTTAATTTACAGAGTTAGGAAGTTATGGTTAGGTCCACAAAAGGACTTAAGAAGCTAATGTTTCCATATGCACGGCACAGAGGAACTTAGCCACTGAACTGGGGCTGCGGGTTCCACTGGATGGTAGGACACCTAGGTTCTTCTGTGGATCCAGTGCTTAGTGCCAAGAGTTTCCAAAAAAGTTAAGGAGAAAAACAGTGGGAAGTCTGACAAGTCAAATACATCTTCTCTCTTATCTAGTGTTCAACCAATTCACAGCACGTACCAGTATTTTTCTTCTCATTAAGAAGAGTTTGCTAATAAAAAAAAATCCTGTAAACTAGACAAAATTCCAGCAAGCCTGTCTTTACTGTTTTTTCTATTTATTTATTTCAGGATTTTATAGCAGAGTAGCCTAACACTGAATTCACGTTAACAGGACTGGGAATGGTTACCATGGGAGAAAGGGAAACAAAACAGGTAAATACAAATCATTCAAAAAGGAAAAGCCTCTGAATCCCTGGATTTGAATGTCATCCCAGTTTTTAAGATGCCACTTATTTTACTGGTTTCCATTTGCACAGGAAATGTATAGCTTTGAATATTTATCAGGGAAGTCTGACTTGAGAAAATTAAACTGCAATATTTGTGCTCCTTACTCGCATGGAAATCAGACACAGAATTTATTTTCCCCCCCCGGAGTGAAAAATAATTGCCATTGTAAAGCAGTATTAGAGAAACTTCTTGCCAACAAAGCAACAAATAATGTTGGATAACAAAAAGTCATCTTTTCACTACTGTGTATTGACAAGCAATTGAGATTAAAAAAGTCCTAGCTATTTTGGTCAGTTAGCGCATTTACTACTATTTAACAACTATTCTTTTTTGTTTTGTGTTTTTTTTTTCAACCTGAGAAATCACAGCTGATTAATCACTTAATTATACTTAAATTGAACAAAAAGAGTTTTGTGCTTCTTTCCCAGATTTAAATCCTTCCATTTTAACACCCCTGAAAAAGGGACTGATTGATTTTTTCCCCCCCTAGACAGAAGTAGTTCACATTAGTGGCAATAGGAAGTCTGCGCACATTATGTAAGTACCTCAGTACAAACATTAGATGTATTTTACCTTCTGTCCTTTAGCATAAGTGCTTCTGCTATTTATAGCAAGCAACTATTAGATCAGTCTAATTTAAGCTTTTCCCTGAGAGCTTCTAACTCTACAGTGTTTCACATAAGGGATTATTCTCTAATAAGGAACGGATTGCTGCATAAACAGACTAATTCTGCCATTGCTTTCTTTTCAGAAGCGAACTTTTATGTCAGAAGTTACTCCCTTGTACGTCAGTTTTAGATTAACTGTGCATAAGATGTTAACTTTATCTCAAAAGGTAACAAAATAGATTTTGTTCAGGTTTTAGCCCTTACCAGGTACAGATACTATGGTTAAACACAGAATCCATTGCTTTAAAATAAAAGATACAAATTTATTTGTGTTATGCCTCTTTAAACAGTTAATAAGTCAGCTCTGATGCTTTCTTGTTATAACAAGGCCTTTCGGTCAGAGTTGATGCACCATTTCTGCATAGAAAGTTTTTGTCCCCTATTGTCAGGACCAGCTCCAGTTCTTGGAAATCCTGAAGCCTTGCAACGTCTTTGTCCTTTAAATAAATAATACAATAAGTTAGCAAACATTATAGTAATAGTACAGGAGTTAAGTGTTGCAAATTTAAGCAATAAAATAAATGAATGATGTCAGCATGAGAGAGGTACCTACCCATCAGTGTGAATTTTACTTATTGAACTATAAAGCAGATATTGCTATTGCATGTTGCATTACTTCGGCATTTTCTTCAGCCAGTCACTTTGTGGCAGGGGATAAAGTCCTACTAGCTAATTTTTTATTCAGGATTCTTGGTTTGGCCATCTCCTGAAAGAACCAGAAGCTTTGTGCACATGAGGAGGTTTGCCAGCTCTGTTGGGGGAGCTTTTTATACCCTCTCTCAACGTATCTCCGCCAGTAGAACTGTATAGCATAGACGACTAAGCCTGCAAGCTTCCTGATTTCTATCTCCTGCTTTATTTATTTTTGTGACGTAAAACCACATAAGCATAATTGTGCTAGCCACGGCAACTTTGCGGGGAAGGCATTAAGATGGGGCGTAAAAAAAAAAAAGAGCAAAAGCTTGTTCCTTAACATTATGAAACATGCTGTGAAACAGTGAAGCAGCTGACATTGCGTTTGTAACCAAAGGACTCCAACCCTCTTCGATATCTCTCATCCACTGCCGCATCTCTGTTCAAAGCCGCAAAATCAAACTGTGCAACAGCTATGCCTGACTAGCTGAAGGCAGCAATAGGGGACCATCAGATGCCCTCTGAAAGTCCATCTTCCTTTTTTCAGTGGCCCATATGTTCCATGAACACTGACTTTTGTGGGAAAACTCGATTATCACTGATTATGTAAAATTGGATTTCTATATACATGTGTTAAACAGTGCTGCAAGGATCAACTGTTAAGTTTTTATGGTGGACGACAGCAGTACCACAACTCGTATTCAAAGATGAAGGGGATATTAGCAGGGCCCCTGAGTGATGAATGAAAGTATTTTCTATGTTAAACATTGTAGCAAAAAAATATTTTGCTTCTAGTTGAAAGTTCTTACCTTTCTTAATACTGTATTTGGTAATTTTCTGATCTTCTCTACGTGTTCTGGATTAACACCCAGTTCACAGCAACTCACTCTGAGCAGTTCCTTATAGGTCAGCTCTTGTCTATCCAGTTCAATTTCAATGAAATCGTTTTCTCGAAGGGTAAGATTCTGAATTCTCACCTTCAGCACGAGTTCTAGTAGAAAAGAAACCAACATTTACAGACATAGGAACACAAGCTCATCTAAGTATCTAAATATGAAATGGAAAAAAGTGGCTTAAAGCTCCTTTAAGTCTTGAAAATATCACCGCAAGTTCATTTGATTCGCTACTTTTGAATTTTAATGTTGTCAGAAGAGCTAGAGGCACAATTCTGCAACCGAAATCATAATCGGCACAGAAATGCCATGACAAATAGCGATGCAAGCTTCCTTGTAACCCAATACTCTCCAACAATTTTAGTTCTTTGCACTTCTAGAGACAGTATGGTCTCTTTGATCACTCATTCCTTGACATGGGCAACCTAGAAGTGAACTATATCTGATAACTCAGTCCTCTGTTAGTGGCAAATCAAACATTAATATTTCCATAGATCTTCTCTCAGCTCCTGACCACCATATCAGGACACCTGCACAGTTTTGATTCAATCAGCAATATTTGAGCATTTGGCTGAAATTATGGAACCAATTACACTAAGCTTATTATTCAGTTATTTTATACCTAGATACAACAGGATATAATATTATATTTTCTGTCTGTATAAAAAGCCTTCATGTTCTTCTTGAGACTGAACTATAACAGAGAGTCTCCTTCAGGTTCACTGGGTGCAGATCTGCCTTGGGTATTTGGGTCTTGCGTGCTCTATCATTTATGGCAGTGGTTCCCAACCTTTTTAGACTGCAGACTGGCAAACTGTGGACCAGCATACTGCAGTCTGGAAGTGACCAGCATGCTGCGGCCCGGGGCTTGGGAACCTTTATGGGGTTAGGTTTTATAATACTCTACAGAACCCAGAGTTATCTAAGAAATGTTTCCGTGTCCATATGTACTAAATGACCCAGTAGAAACAGGTTTATTTGTCAGATTTTTTTTTGACCTGGCCAAAGAAAAGAAGAGAGGTAAAACTAGATTTGTGAACTGTCCAAGAATCATATCATGTTACCTTGCATATTAAACGGGAAAGATCCTGTTAAAAAAAGTGGCTGAAATGGCGGTATAGGCCCTGAAGAATAGCCATTCTGTTGCTGGGATGCAGACTGTTTAGGTGCAGCTGAAGAAGGGGAGGTTCTGCTCGGAGGCACAGATGTCTGGCAAAGCGGACCGTTCTGGACTACAGGCTTCGGGCATTCTGGCATGGAAAAGACTCCCGTTGATGTTGGCTCTTCTTCCTTATCAGCCACTGCCGAGACAGTATTTTCATGCTGTAGCGGTGGAGATGGGCAAGCTTCATTGTGATGCAGTGCAGAACAGTCGGCATCTTGCGATTCCAGGGACGAGGAGAAACTTCCATTCAGGGAGCAAGTAGAGGGGTCTGGAATATTGTTACTCATGGTGTTATACACATAAGGGAAAGGTGGATTGGCTAGGTAATTAGGGACAATGGGCAACTCTGAATCTTTCTTCAAATCTGGAAGTTCATCGTCCCCCACTGGAAAGGAAAGAAAAAGCAGCCACTGAACCACTGTAACCAGCCATTACAGATTGGACAGAACAGAGATTCAGTAAATCGATGAATTTCAGAAGCAGATTATTAAAAAAAACCCAAAACATCATACCTGAGACATAAAACAACAAGCTAGAAACTACTCTATGTAGCAGTGCTAAGCTGCTCCAAACCAGGAAGTCTGAGAACAAAGTTGAAGTGGCTAAGATATTGCAAAGAGACCATTTTTTCCCTCCCCATACACTGAGATTGATAGATAGTCAGACATCCTGCAACTAGCATTTTGTGCCATATTCTCTGCTAGTGTAAATCTAATACCTAGATAATGAGCATAAAGCAGAGGATCAATAGAGAACTGTGGATTGTGAGGTTTCCTGCAGGTTCTAAAGAACAGGCGAGGAAAACAGCACACAGCAAAGAAATAGGAACAAAAGCAGAAACCAGAGCGAAAGAAGTGCAAAAATGCTCAATTACTCTGCACAGGCCTCAGGCTAATTTTCATCTATAGAAACATCCCTATTACACTCCAGTAATTATGAACACAATACTGTAATGGCCCCTTTGGGGCTGCTACTCTATCAATGTCTTTTTCTGGGATACTTCTCTAGCCTGCTATTCTTCTGGTGAGATCAATACAGTTGACGCTTTAACTCCAAAATGTTTTCAGTCACTTATGTTAAAGGCTTTATATATTAGAGAGACTTCCTTCTCTTCATCCTCACTAGAAACCACGTATAAAGCTTCACCTGTCTGTAGCAAGAAAATGACACGATAATTTAACTTTTGCAAATGATAGTTTTTTTCAACGTGCAGAAAAAAGTTTTAAAGGGCAGTTGAACCCATTTTCTAAAAGTTATGCTTTTTTTCTTGGGTAAAAATATTGGGGCCCAGGAAGAATTACTACTGTAGGATTATAAAACCGTAATACAGAATCAGCACACCTACACCAGCACAATGGGGCAAGTGCATCATCATCTTAAATAATATCACCTGAAGAACACGCCTAAGGAAGTGATACTTTCCCTCAATGTGGCACTGGTTAGGCCACAGCTGGAGTACTGTGCCTAGTTTTGGGCACCACACTTCAAGAGGGATGTGGATAACCTTGAGAGGGTCCAGACGAAGGCCACTTATCTGGTTAGGGGCCTGTAGGATAGGTCCTATGAGGAGAGGTTGAAGGACCTGGATCTCTTCAGCCTCCGTAAGAGAAGGCTGAGAGGGGATCTGGTGGCTGCCTACAAATTTGTTGGGGGGGGCCCGCAAGAAACAGGAGATGCTTCGTTTACCAGGGCACCCCCTGGAGTAACTAGAAACAATGGCCACAAAGTGACGGAGAGCAGATTTAGGTTAGACATAAGGAAGAACTTTTTTACAGTAAGGTGACCAGAGTCTGGAACGGGCTCCAGAGGGAGGTGGTGCTCTCCCCTACCTTGGAGATCTTTAAGAGACCAGACATACACCTGGCTGGGGTCATCTGATCCCAGCTCTTTTTCCTGCCCAGGGCGAGGGGTCGGACTTGATCTACTGAGGTCCCTTCCAACCCTGCAAATCTATGAAACCTATGAAGAAATAAAGATATCACCCTAAGAAATCCTTGCCTCTGGCGTGATCCTTGGACCATCATGGCTACAACCTCACTGTAACACACTCTCAGTCACTATTATGATCTTTAACGTTTTATACTATATAAGTAATCTGCTTACCTCCCATCATCTTCTTAATCTCTCTCTTTGAAGTTAACTGGAATGGCCTTTCTCCTTTCCTGGTAAGACTCTCCTTATCAGCCCCAGAGTCTAGTAAATAAGACACCACTTGAGCGTGATTTCGTTTGCAAGCCCAGTGCAAACAAGTCCTGCAGAAGAGACATGTAAACACACTATGAAATAACCAGGCTACCACGAAAATTTCACTCATTCCTGTTGCACGGGAAGAGGCCAAGAACTGGCTTCTCCCAAAAAGGGGAAAAAAATCAAGTTTTCAATAGCTGATTTAACTTGAAAATCAGACTATTGTCGATAGCCTGCAGTGACACCTGCTGATAGAGTTTTT